TGTTGTATTTAGGTGCCCTAGCGGCAATCAAATACCTATGTAACTGTACACTTTATCATGAATGAAAGGCCTTGAAGTATGTTTTATATCTCGTGTAACATAACATAGCTTCAGTCCATAGACGATAGCGCTTCAGTAACATAGATGAGGACTACGATGTTTTGATTATGAGACTGTTACTTCTTGACGAAGGCTATGTCTAGAATATCCCTAGTCGCACTTTATGATAATACGGACGTCATAACGTATCAAGACTAGTACGTACGAGATGAGATAGTTGCGTCTCATAGACTATAGGTATTGTGATATCTTAATCTGTACGTAGGTGCATATTATATCGATAATATGTGACTTGATTGACCCATCTTGAGAATACTGCATGGATCTACAGTAATGTGTTTATCAGTATTCTCAAATCGACCTTGCTATAACTATCCTCAGACTTGAAGTTATTACATTCTCTGATATGTGGGGCCGTATGCTTTGATTCATAACTAATGCTATCTGAAATACTGGTAGACATACAGTTATGCGTTGGATATGCCGCTAAGCATATTTAGAGATGTGAATAACAGATACATGATCTGTCCCTTCTACTGTATAGAAGTATAATGTCAATGGGCCCACTGAATAGTAGGACTTGGGAAAGTGCATGGCCATGCCCAGATATGTCACTATCTAGAGACTGATAAATATCTGATCCCTGCCAGTCTACTTGAGATTCAGTTACAGCTGATTTAACTATACAAGGATACACATTCCATGCCTTGTGTTAAATCATGACATTTAGGACAGAAGGATAATAGTTATAGAATGTCTTGTGTCGTAGAAGGTATTGATGAGATGAACGTCTTTTTCATAATCTGGGGATAATAATGTGTTGCTAGATACCGCTTATTATCTATGGTATTAACATTGAATGTAGCAGAAACTCCGTAATCTCCAGGCAAATTGACTTTGTAGGCGTTGTCGTTGATCTTTTCTAAAATCTCGAATGGGGCGTCGGCTCTTGGTAGTAACTTGGACATACGTTTGGCGGGAAAACGCTCTTTCCTTAGGTGAATCCAAACCAAGTCACCGGGCTGAAAACTTGTGAATTTTCTTCCTTTGTTGATCATGTTACTAACTTTCTCATTTACCGCTTCAATCTTCTCTCGAACCTTTTCATGGAGTTCTTGAATTTCCTTGGACCGTTGATCAGCTGCCCAACTGTATTGCTCTTTTCCTACGATGGGATCAAGCTCAAGTGGGGTGAGGGGGTTCGAACCATAGACCACCATGAACGGGGATAGCCCCGTGGTCTTGTTTGGGGTTCGGTTATAGGCAAACTCGGCGTGCGGCAGTAGCTCTTCCCATTGCTTGACGTTTCGTTTGATTAGAACTCGAAGGACAGTTCCAAGCGTTCTGTTGGTGACCTCGGTTTGTCCGTCAGTTTGCGGATGGCTAGTAGTGCTGAATTTGAGCTTTGTGCCTAGCTTTCTCCACAATGTCATCCAAAAATGGCTAAGGAATTTGGGATCCCTATCAGA